CACCACAACGCCCGGCTATTTTTTGGTTGCAGCCGTCATTGTTGTTTGGCGGGTCTGGGCTGGATTCGAACCTGCCACCTTAGGTGTATGTGGCTAGCGCCTTAGCCACTTGAGCCACAGGCGCCGAGCCGACCCCCGTGAATCTTAGGCAGATGGGAACGCCCGGAAGTTTATGCCTCTACTACTAACACGTGACGAGCGTAGCCGTTGAGAAAGGCTCAAGGCGCGCGTGTGACGTCATATCTGCGCGATCCTCTTCCTTGGCGTAGAATTTTCCTGGTGTTTCCCCGAACTATGCCGAAAGTAGTGTCGCGGTCGGTAGTTTGCTCCGACACCCGGGACCGGGAGGAATATGACGACGGCGAGAAGCCCCTCCACGTGTACTATTGTTTGTGCGGCCAGATGGTCCTCGTGCTGGGTGAGTAGTAGGGAGCTGGGTGGCGTCTGGGAGGAGCTAGACTTTGGGTTATTAAGCACGAATTTCCTCTGGCTGTGATCAGGGAGTCACTTCTCGTTGAACATTGATGGACTTTCCCTCCCTACGAAATCCTTTTTGCATATCTTCGCTCCTCTCCAAGGGCTTCCCCCCGCCCTCTGTTTTCTGTTTAACCTTGTGACTCTGCATGCAGACCTCCCTCAAAACTAAACTTCTAGCACTCGGGGAGGTGGAGGCGGGCGGATCGCCTGAGCTCAGGGGTTCGAGATCCCCTTGAGCAAGAATGAGACCCAGCCTCTAAAAATAGCCGGGCTGCTGCCTGTAGTTCCAGCTACTCCGGGGGCTGAGGCCAGGAGTCAGGTCGCTGTGAGCTATGACGCCAGGGCACTCTACCGGGGGCGACAAAATGAGACTCTGCCCCCCAAAAAACAAAATCTAAACTCCTCTTTGAGGAAAATAAGTATTGTATCTTTCTCTCAATCCACTGTCTTCAAAAACTACCGCCTCTAGAAACTATGACTGCGGTTGCAGCTGGCTCCAAAGATGCTCTAATAGCTCTCAATTTAGAATAAGTGAAAATACAACCCTCCTTTGGTCCTGTTTTCTCCTCCAGCTATAGCTCCATTTCATTGCTGCTTTCATAGCAAAATTTCTCAATAGAATTACCTATACTGGCTGTCTTCTGCCTCCTCATTTCTCATTCCCTCTTGATCTCATTTGGAGCAGGTTTTTCTTCTCACCTCTTCATCTAAAATTCTTAGCCATATTTGGTTTTTTTTTTTTTTTTTT